TTGCATGGAATGTGAGGGGAATTGGACCATCACTCACATTCCAAACAAAGGTCGGTTTAGTTCGTTCAAATAAACCAGATCTCGTGTTTTTCTCAAAAACTCAATTGAGTCGGAGAGTCATTTCTCGTCGTATGCGGGGTTTGGGTTTTGATCTTTCTCGTTGTTTTTTTGTTGATGCGGTTGACGCATCGGGATCGTTACCCGGAAACTTTGGTGAAACACTTCACTGATCAGGGTTTGGACCATCAGGCTCTCCTCCTCTCGGACAAATCCTATACTCGATCAAGTCATCCCCTTTTCCGTTTTGATGCTCGCTGGGCAGATAACCCAGAGGTCAAGGCTATGGTGAACTTTGTCTGGCAGGAGGACATTCCTGGGACCCCTATGTTTCAACTTTGGGAACGTCTTAAGCAGAGCTGGTACCACGAATTCTCTGCGAAATATTAAGACTCTTCAAGCTGAAATTGATCGAATCAAATTGGTGCACCCAATAGATTGGGATACCGTCCATTCTCTGGAAATCGAACTCAATCGTCAATGGGAGGCTGAGGAGTTGTACTGGCAACAGAAGTCGAGAGTCCACTGGTTGAAGAAAGGAGATAAAAATACTTCCTATTTTCACACAGTGATGAGAACTCGGCGGAAAAGGAATTTCGTTGCTAGACTCCGCACTGACAGTGGTGAATGGATCACAGAGCTGAGGAATCTGGAAAGGCAAAAATTGCTAGTTCTTTTTACCAGACTCTCTTCACTTCGGAGAATCAGGTGTTGAACATGGTGGAGAGGGTAGCTTCGCTTCATATTCCCCGTAATGTTACACCTGAAATGAATGCTAGCCTCGCTGCTGCAGTCCTTCCAACCGAAGTTAGACAAATCGTTTTCTCGATGGGGTCACAACAGGAGCCTGGCTCTGATGGGTTCACAGGGAAGTACTTTAAGGCTTTTTGGGACATTGTTGGTGATTCAGTGATTGATGCGGTCTGCTCTTTCTTTTCTTCGAGTAAGATGCTCCGTAGCTTTAATCATACTTGGCTGACATTGATCCCTAAAGTGGATATCGTGGAATCCATGAGACAACTTTTTCCTATAAGTTTATGCCAATTTGTGTAAAAAATCATAACGAAAATCATGGCTGAGCGTTTGGCTGGTCTTTTGCCACTTATAATCTCGGAAGACCAGAATGCTTTCCTCCGGGAACGGCAAATTGTGGAAAATATTCTCATGGGGCATGAGTTAATGCATTACCTAAAAATCAAGACGCAAGGTAAGAAAGGGTACATGGCCCTTAAGGTTGACATGGAAAAGGCCTATGATAGGGTCGAATGGCCGTTTCTCCTTGCTGTTTTTGGAAAAGATGGGTTTTTACTCAACCTGGAGGGGTTGGATTCATGAATGCCTCCGGTCCACTTCGTTTTCGGTCATGATGAATGGCACACCATCCGGGTTCTTTGCCTCATCCAGAGGTCTTCGACATGGGGATCCTTTATCGCCCCTGCTGTTTATGCTCTGTACAGAGGGATTCGCTGCTCTCCTTAAGAAGGCTATCTCTGAACGCAAACTAGAGGGAGTAAAAGTGGCTCCCAGGGCTCCTCGTATCTCACATTTATTCTTTGCAGATGATTCTTACTTATTTCTCCGAGGGTCTCTCCAGGAATGTGAGAATCTCCTGGAAGTTTTGAATGAATATGAGGAACTTAGTGGGCAGAGGATGAACTTGGCTAAATCTGCGGTCTACTTTAGTAAGAATATTGCAGTACAAAATCAGGAGATCTTGGCCCAGATTCTGGGAGTGGGGGCGGTAGGGGTTCATGATAAATATCTTGGCCTCCCTACGCTAATAGCCCGGTCTAAGATGTCTACGTTTTGCTACCTCGAGGAGAAGCTTCAGGACAAACTTCAGGGGTGGAAACGAAGGACGTTATCATTGGCCTCTAAGGAGACATTGATTAAATCCATAGCCCTAGCGCTGCCGTTGCAGGTAATGTCCTGTTTCCGGTTACCTCTGTCTCTCTGTAGGTTGTTAGATAAGCATGTGGCTAGGTTCTGGTGGGGTATTGACGATGGACAGTCTCGTATTCGCTGGAAGTCCTGGAGCAATATGTGCAGGAGTAAGCATGATGGGGGGATGGGTTTCCGTCGTTTTGAGCATTTTAATCAAGCTCTCTTGGCTATTGGCTGACAGATTCTTAATGAACCCCAACCACTTTTGGGCCAAGTCTATAAAGGGAAGTATTTTCCCAATAGAACATTCCTCACCGCTACGGCTCGCTCTCGCCCTTCGTGGGGATGGCAAAGCATCCTTTTTGGAAGGGAACTATAGCGTATGGGCTTATGGTGGCAGATTGGTAATGGGCAGACGACATCTTTACTCGAGGATAGTTGGATTCCGCGGTTACATCCATCTCTCCCTGTCTTTAACCCTCAGGTGTTATCTGAGGGAGGAGGCCCTAGTGTTTCGGAAGTTATCTGCTCTGGGGAAGGGAGATGGTGTGATGCCAAGCTGAACCAGTGGTTTGACCCACTTACTTGTAAAGCCATTAAAGCTATCCCCCTCCCCGGGAGAATGTGGCGGATAAACTACTCTGGCATGAATCGGCTGATGGGATTTTACGGTAAAATCAACCTACCATCTTGCAGTCCGTTTGGATAAGAAGAAGAATCGGTGGCGGGTTGAGGTAAGTTAGATGGATAGGGCCAGCTGGATTCGGGTTTGGGAGGCAAATATCCCGCCAAAGTTGAAGGTATTTGTTTGGAAGATTCTCAATAGGATCCTGCCAACCACGGAAGCCCTCCTAGAGAAGGATGTCTTGGTTCACGCCAGATGTCCGGTTTGTTGGGCTGAGAAGGAGACTATGGAACACCTGTTCCTCTACTGCCCTGTAGCTCGTGCTATTTGGGACCACTCGAGCCTCGAGCATCTAGGGCAAGGATTGCCTCGTCATACCTTCCCCTTGTTCCTGAAGAAGTTAATGGCACTTTTACAACAACCCATGATGTTTATGGTTGTGGTCGATGTACTTTGGAGGATCTAGCGTTCTCGTAACTAGTTTGTATTTGAGGGCAAACAGTTTGGGATACCGGCCTTGATGAGGCAGTTGAATCAGCAGTTTCAGGAATGGGTCCAGTTGCCGAATGCCAAGGGGCCGCTTAGGGTGGCTCCGGTGCCTCATACTTCGAGTCCTAGTCGAACGGACGTGGTGATATGTATGTGGGATGGGGCTACTAGAAGTGGATCTCACTCGGCAGGGGGGATGGTGGTGCTAACTCCAGACCGTGAGCTTCTGGTGGCTGCGGGGGCTCAGTTCCCTTGCATTGATGACCCTATGGTGGTCAAGGTGCTGGCCTTGCGAGAGGCTGTCTGTTGGTGTCTAGCAAGTGGGTTCACGGAAGTTCGATTTGAAGGGGATGCCCAAGCAATCATTGATAAGATCAATCGGGCGCAGATCAGCGATAACCGTATGTGGGCTATTCTTGAAGAACTAGTACAATATTTGGCCTTGCATCCAGGATTTAGTGTACGATTTGTAGGTCGGCGTAGCAATAGGGTAGCGCATTTGGTGGCTAGAAAGGCCCTCTCTTTGTAGCCAACTATGATTCGTTCTTTTGATTTCCAGACCTGGCTGAATTCCAGGATGTAACTACCTCGTTCTGAATTAATATATAATTATCTTTTGTAAAAAAAAAAACTTAAAAGGATTCGGTCGAGTGATAATATCATTCGTCTTGAGCATGAAGGTCACAGGTTCGAATCCATCACTACTTCTTGGGCAAAGTATGATGACATACATTTGTTGGGGTTGTTCACTTCCTTCCGGCTTTATATCTTACTATAATCTATTGTAGAGCATAGGTTAAATATCCAGTAGATGAAAAGTAGAAAAAAAGTAAAAAACCATACTTTGGGACACTTTTGGTTCATCCAGGCTCCAGCCCAAGTTCTCACAGTTGCTTTGAGTTGCATATTAGCAAATGGGGTATGCCATTTCGAAATGAGGACTAATTTGGTCCTTCTCCAGAGAATAGTAAGATATTTGGTGAGAAAAACTCCATTTATGTGCAGCAAAACTGCTCTTAATTTGGTTGTGTAACTCACTCCCAGTGAACAGATCAGAAAGCTTATTTGTAAGTCTTCTTCTTCCACATATAAGCAGCTACGTACCGTAATGGAATGGAGGGAAGCCCTTCAAATAGTGGGGGGAAATCTAATGGGCAAGGTTGATAGCCACTTACGGAGAGTTTTGTTTGCTTAGTTGCAAAACGACTCTTGCTCACTGTTCATTCAATTTGCAGGCGAGGGAGCTATATATAATAGATGTGGTTATCTCACGAGTTGACTCATATCTGATGTGGAGTTACAAGTTGGTGCCTAATCAAGACTTGGTTGGAATTTATTTTCATGTTAAACAAGGTTTGTCCTCATTTTGGTCACTGATGCTTTCTGGAGGATGAATCAGAAGCATGGACAGAGAATGGTAAGGGCCTAGTAAGTTTGCAGAACAAGGTTATCTCTAGCATTTTGAGGCATACTGATGATCCAGTTCAACGTGCTGATACCGGTATTCATGTGGTAAGAGATAGTGTCTGTAGACACAAAGTGTTTCTCGTTCTTGATGATGTCGTGTCGATGAGATGTTTGAGTTTGTCAAAACATGAAGATTTTTCAGCAGGATGTAGTATTTTGATCACAACTAGAGACAAAATTTTGAACTTGTATCAATAGTACAAGTTGTATGAACTTGAAGAGATGAGTCGCGACTGTTTGCTTCAACTGTTTAGCAATTTTGAATGGACTACCCTCCAGAAGATTATGCAGCTCTGTCAGAAAAAATTGTACAAGCTGCATGGGACCCTCCCAGTAAGATTCAAGGAAGCCTGAGGATGAGTTACGATGCATTAACTTACGGGGAATAACAAACCTTTCTTTATATGTTGCTTTGTTTCTTTATTGGAAGGACAAAGTTTTGCCGATATATATGTGGAGTGACTGCAGGTTTTATCCAGAAAGTGGGGTTGACTCTTGTTCTTAGGTCCTTGATCAAATTTAACAATGATCATATCAGAGATTTAGGCAGAGCTATTTATTCGACTTGGATAAACAAGCGTAGCAGAATATAGTCCAACGAGAGTGCTCTAGACATCTTAAGCAACAAAGAGGTATGGCAGTGTTCATCTGTCTACTTGGAGGAACTGCAATTTGAACATTCTGAAGTTGAGCTCCGAATTCCAGAGAATATATGAAAGTTGTCCAAGTTGAAGACTTTGATCCTCAGAGCCTGTGAGATTTTTCTCATGGGAGAGAGTGTTCTCCCTTCATCTCTCAATAGACGGGTTTAGCATCAATGGCAGAGCTATTGACGTGATTACTGCAGATCGATGACGAAGTTAGGCAATATCTGAGTTCTCAGAAACTTGAAGGACATGCAGATATTGAGATGCCAACCGGTTGATTCAGGTTACAGAACTTCAGTTCTCAACCATGCTTTCCCCGCTACGGCTCCTGTAATGATTCTTGTATGTCATAAAGGTTTAGTTTGGGGTGTGTTTTGTAATTGTGCAGTTATGCTGTCGTGAAAAAGAGAATCGAATCAGTAAATTACAGATATTTTCCCCAATTCTTTCTCAATCTCTCGTCTTCCCCCTCTTCCTCCCCTCTTCTTTTCAATTCCTCCATTTCTCCTATCAATTTCCCTCTTTGCCTCTGTGCTTCTTGGCTCCGAAGCATTCAGTTCGTCTCCATGATTGGAGAGAAAAGTTAAGAAGGTAAAATCCGTTTATTCTGCTCTCCTGCGAATTGTGTTTGTTTCCCTTTCTTTGCTTCCCAACATCTCGAACCCGCTCCATTTTCTCGTTTCTAGGGCTATTAGAGATGATAATGGTGAAATCTAGCTCCAAAGACTTTTACCTGGAATTTTTTTCTCGAGCAATTACCTTGTATGATGGTTGTGGAACGTAACATTTACTTCTGGGTTGGGAATTCGCATTCAGAAGTTTTTGGGGCTGGGTTACGCTCAATCGGTGGGAAACCACCTTCCCCGCTGCGAAGGTGCCAATTCCGCGAATGTTCCATGATTTGAATGGTGGATAAAGCCTTGTTCTTTTTCGTTTACCATATCAGTTTTGTTCAGTATGGGGGTTTATCCTTAGGTTATGCGTTGGTATGTGGGGATATAAAATGAAGAAAAGATGGGTTGCTGGATTAGCACGATGCTTCATCCTTCGATTCTTCATTCCATCCCATGTTCCTACTGTTTCCGCACTTGATTTTCTGGGTAGTTTGAAACTTGCTTATGCAGCTCATTGCACTGTAAAAAGAAGCAACTTTGATCGTTCTCTAGGGTATACCATAAATTTGATTCGTGGGTCTCCACAATCTATTGCAATGGATGAAAGCAACGCACTTAACTAACTGATTTGCTCATCTAAAATATTTGGGTCATCTGACTTGGTTTTCTCCTTGTGTTCATTTGACTGTTGCAGAAAATTCTACGTTTTTTCTGGGGTAATTTTCGAGAAATGGCTTCTATTGCTAGAGCTTCACCGCCATCATCAATCATTAATGTTCATCGTAGGGCTTTGAAGTTGTTGAAACCTCCATCTACATGCCAAGTCGGCAGCTTCCCCAGATATCGTCTATCAAATCGTTCCGGTATTCGCTGCACAAAATCAACCCCATGGGAACCTTCACCGCCTGTTACATATGCTCTTGGGGCTGGAGATGAGAGCAATGATTTCTTGAATAAACCTGCCAATTTGTTCGAAACGCTGAGTTCTGATGGAACAGCTGAAGAACCATCTACCAAGAGTGAAGAACAGCTCGCACAGACAAAGACACAGCAGGAGGGCCCTAAATTCCAGTTCCTGAAATGGCCGCTGTGGTTTCTAGGCCCTGCTCTTCTTCTTGTCACCGGAATGGTGCCAACTCTATGGCTTCCACTATCCTCAGTTTTCCTTGGACCCAACATAGCGAGCTTGCTCGCTTTAATTGGACTGGACAGCATCTACAACCTTGGAGTCACACTGTATCTTCTCATGGCCGATTCTTGTGCTCGGTCTGGAATCCTGCCACAGGCATGCAACAGCCAGCCACCGTTGGCTTACAAGTTCTGGAACATGGTCTCCGCCGTAGCTGGATTCGCTATACCACTGGTGATGTTGGGTTGGTCGCAGAAGGGTTTGCTTCAACCACAGCTGCCTGTATTCTCCTTTGCCATTCTAATGGGGCCTTACCTCCTGCTTCTGTCTGTGCAATTCCTGACCGAGTTGCTCACTTGGAACTGGCAGTCACCGGTCTGGCTGGTGACCCCGGTTGTGTACGAGACTTATCGGGTGTTGCAGTTGATGAGGGGTTTGAAGCTTGCGACCGAACTCAATTCGCCCGTGTGGATGTTGGACACGATTAGGTGGTTGGTGTCTTGTTGGATACTGATTCTGGGTATTCAGCTGATGAGTGTGGCCTGGTTTGCTGGTTATTCTGCTCGAACGACTCAGCAGCAGAAGCAATAGTCGTCTTCTGCTGACCCTGGCAGTGGCTAGTGATCAGCTACAACAATGACAGAGGTTCGCTGTTGTGGGATTGTGATTAATGGCTGAAAGTTACATCTGTACCGGATATCAGGATGCAAAGATTTTGCTTCCAGAATGCAGATTATTATTAGCTTAGTTGTTGGTTGAAAGAATCAAGTTAAACCGAATAGCATAGAATTGTATTAGAGCATTTATATCTTTCCATGTACATATCGAAACACTTGCTCTAGCATTAGAAACTCCACGTTACGCTATCTCAGCTCCTCACAGTTCTATCTCTGAATTCGTTCTTACCGCAGCTGTAGTTTAAGCATCAAGTGCTAATGGACGAGTATGCAAGATCACAAATTCGCTGTGAAAACGAGCATTTCTACTATGCTATATAGCATTGGTGCTTTAATATACAACTTAAAGTTGTACCATAACATTACATGTATAAGTTTAGGTTGTACCATAAAACAATTTGTACCATTATGTTATGGTAGAACTTTACAACTTGAAGTTGTACCACATAAGGGTGCAAGTTCAAGTTGTACCATAAAAGAATTTGTACAAAAAGTATAGGTACAATCTGAAGTTGTACCATAACGTAGATGTACAATTTTAAGTTGTACCATAAAGGCAAAAACCTATAACACCAAGACTATATAGCATTGTAAATTTCTCCATGAAAACCTCTGAAGATGAATATTATTATGTGGGTTAATTACAAGGATGGTTACTGGGTTTACTAAAACCGTTCATGTTTGGTCACTGCAAATATTTAATTTCATTCATGGTCACTAAGATTAGTTCAATAGTTCAAGTTTGGTCACTCTCCGTTAATCTCCGTTAGTTTTTGCTGATGTGGCAGTCAACTACTATGCTATATAGCATTGGTGCTTTAATATACAACTTAAAGTTGTACCATAACATTACATGTATAAGTTTAGGTTGTACCATAAAACAATTTGTACCATTATGTTATGGTAGAACTTTACAACTTGAAGTTGTACCACATAAGGGTGCAAGTTCAAGTTGTACCATAAAAGAATTTGTACAAAAAGTATAGGTACAATCTGAAGTTGTACCATAACGTAGATGTACAATTTTAAGTTGTACCATAAAGGCAAAAACCTATAACACCAAGACTATATAGCATTGTAAATTTCTCCATGAAAACCTCTGAAGATGAATATTATTATGTGGGTTAATTACAATGATGGTCACTGGGTTTACTAAAACCGTTCATGTTTGGTCACTGCAAATATTTAATTTCATTCATGGTCACTAAGATTAGTTCAATAGTTCAAGTTTGGTCACTCTCCGTTAATCTTCGTTAGTTTTTGCTGATGTGGCAGTCAACTAATATAGTTGACCGTTAAATGAGTGACGTGACCAATAAAAAATAATAAAATTTAAATATTTACAATTTCCACCTCATTTTACAACTATTAAAACATAAAAATAAAAATAAAACTTACCTCCGTCATCTATGCGATTCTGATCCCTCCGATTTCTCTCCCCCTCCTTTAGGTTTCTCTCCCCCTCCTTCGATTTCTCTCAGGCATCTACACCGACGGCCAAGCAGAGCTCGGATACCAGAAGAATCCATCGTCGCCATAACTTTCCCCGTCATCAAGCTCCTCGAAATTCAAGTCATCTTCGTCCGATCCACCTAGAATCTCGACGAGTCCGTGAGCGGCGACGGTCGACCCCAACGTAAAGATCCGGATCCAAGACGCGGACGCCGTCCACGGACAACACCGACTGGTCCACGACGGTGCCGTTTCTGAGGATGAGCGGGGAGCAGCAGCCGCCGATTATCAAGAGGCGGTGCCCGGGGAGGAGAATGTCAGGAATCGCCCCGGCCGCGGAGGGAGTTGGCCGGGAGCAGAGCGGGGGAAATGTGGCGAAGGAGGGAGCGGACTTAGCGGGGCGCGGCGGCGGAGATGTCGAGAGAGTAGAGGAAGCGGTCAGGGGCGACGGCGGTGGCGAGAGAAACGATTCCATCGTTACGCTTCGGCTCAGCATTCACCGGTCTTACAGCGAACGAGCGCTTACGAGAAGAAGATAGGTTGACGGCGGTGGCGGTGGAGGGATGATCCAACAACCGGAACGAGCCGATTCGTAGAGCTAAACAAATCAGAAGGGGAAAAAAATCAATAAACGCAAACTCAATCAGACAATCGACGGGAGCAAATACGACGATATCAGCCAGAAATTAGAGTGTAAATGGAATCACAAATGTACATTTGGGCTCGGAGGAGGAAGAAGCAGTAGAGCGAGCGACATTCGAAGCCGAAATTGCGGTGGTGGACAACACCGCCATGGTGAGTTTGTGCAATGAGTGTTCTCTGGATTGGTTCTTGCGGCCGGCGGGATGGCTTTCTTGTTGATGGTTTGGTTTTTCCTGTGTACTTTTCGGGAGGTAAGTTTTATTTTTATTTTTAACAATTGTAAAATGAGGTGGAAATGGTAACTATTTAAATTTTATTATTTTATTATTTTTTAATGGCCACGTCACTCATTAACGGTCAACTATAATAGTTGACTGCCACATCAGCAAAAACTAACGGAGACTAACGGAGAGTGACCAAACTTGAACTATTGAACTAATCTTAGTGACCATGAATGGAATTAAATATTTGCAATGACCAAACATAAACGGTTTTAGTAAACCCAGTGACCATCCTTGCAATTAACCCATTATTATATATTGTCATATTATGTATACACATTTTCAGGATCCAAATCTCGCATCTTCTTTGTTTGATGCTAGTATCTCGTCAGCTAAAACATATAACCAAATCCAATAATTTGAGAACATTCCTGCCCTCATATTTTCCTGACGTGGCCATACTTTGGCAAACAAACCTTTTCTTTCGTCAATGCTAGTTGGTAATGTAGCACTTTTTTGTTTTTTGTTTAATATAATCTTTCAGTTTGCATTTTGAACGTTTGATTCGTTCAACCTCCTCTTTGTTTTTGGTTTTTGCCAACGAAATTTTCCTGCTGGCTTTCTTTTCTGTACATAACAAATGCAAACAAACTTCCAAACTACAATACAACTCATCCACTCTTTGAACTGGTTTTTCCAAGGAATTCACTACGGCCAATTATACCTTACTATGGCTGATGGCTCCACGTGGCGACTCTGCAGTAGATTCAGGTCAATTAACTAGTATATGATTCATGTAAAGTAAATTAAGCAGGACACTTAACTCTTAAGCGCCACTAATAGGTAACATACAGCTCTCTAATTTAAATATTAACAACCTAATTAACTCTAAACAATCAGCAGACCTAATTAGATGCCTTTTTCCGGAAAAAAAATCCAAAACTACAACTATTTATTTTTATACAAAAGTACCACCCATTCCGAAGAAATTCCAAATCTACCACCATCCACATAAACCGCGCCTCGAAGGTGCGGTTCTCATTCAAACCGCGCGGGCAAGGGGCGGTTTACCATTGGGCAGCTGCCAAAACGCGCCTCTACGTGGCGGTCTATACAACCGCGTGATGGGCAGGCGACCTGACGGCTAACCTCCTGCCAGCGGAGCGATCCGCGTAGTGGATTGATAACCGTTGCCCAAGGGCGCGGTTTGCGAGTTGGGAAGCGTAAACCGTGTGCCAGAGGCGCGGTTTTTAGTGGGGGTAAAAATACCAAACCGCCCATCCAGCACGCGGTTCCACCCCTATAAATACCCACACCCTTCCTCTCATTTTCTTCACACCAAACACAATCTCCTCTCTCTCTCTAAGTTTCTCACTCTACCCATCCCCCTCCCCACCCAAAAATCTTGGAAGTAGTTGTTTTGTTGGTTGCGGCTAAGTCCGATCTGCCTTCAAAAAACTTTTCTTTGGTTTTCCCTAGAAAACTGTTGAATCTCTGTCCGGATCCTAAAAAATGGTCAATTTTGTCGGAGAATAGGGTATTTACTGTGATGATTATCAAGCGGTACGTACTCATTTTATCCAATTTTTGTTGTTGTTATAATGGTTTTATTTAATTTATATAATAATTGATTAATGTTGTTGTTATGCTATCGTAGGTTGGGCCAGATGTTGATATATACAATCAACGATATTATGTTGATCTAGGACTGATTGATCTGACTGTTTTATACGATCAATTCAATCATCGTTCAAGAGACGTTTGGAACGACCACAAGGTACATATTATTTACCATCACTTGTAATTTTTATTTTGTTAACGTAATTTATTTGTTTAGTGGAGTAAATTACTTAATTGTTAATCGTATTGATTATTTTCAATAATTTAAATCAATACAATACAATACAACACTCATTTATACTATTTATAAAGAAATGCATGTCTAAGAAAATGGGGTCTTAAGCGATCATCATGATCCTCCCATGAGCTGGGAAAATCGGGTTCTAAGAGATCCTCGGGTCCCCCTTTTTCTGTCAAACAGACTGTGTTAGTATACCTCTCCTAAGAGTCTTACGAGTGTACTTGTATTGCTTTAAATTATTGAAAACAATCAATACGAAGTACAAAATAATATATTTGATTTTATGTGTATGTGTACAAAATAATTTTACTTAAATTTCGAAAATGGTATTGATTTTAGTTAATTATTTTAGTTATCTTAATATTAATGTTTATTAAATTATGTATATTTCTCGGAAACAACCTTGATTTCATTAATTTATATTGTTTGTTATAATAGATTTATAGATGTATAAATCATAAACTTACAGTGAAATGGCGCTTGTTACCAGGCACCGGCGGCTGAATTTCTTCATCTTGGTCGCGGGGAGAGAAAATGGTGTCAGGGTTAGACCCCTCCATAGCCAAAATCAATCTGGGAAGGAAATGTATATGATTCTTCCCAGTCACCAAACACGGCGGCCATTGCTTTCTGTTTTCCATGCCACACCTTCTTGTAGTTAATGATATAACCATAACGACTAGAAATGTCGGCGATGATAGTTTTAACCTTCAAGTCGGGCTGCTCCTCAATTAGATGTTTGATAGCCACGGCAACCACCTTTGATTTCAACTTTCGATGGCCTTGGGATGTTATTGATGACACACATGTGTGTGTGTTCACCGCACGGGATATGACCCAATGGTCGACTCTCTTGTCTTGATGGCCCGGACCCTAGCATTGCATCCTTCATTTTGATTTTTGCATCTAACCATCAGCCTCTTCGTGTCGGAATGGGTTGTGTGTCATTTAAAACTCCGAGTCATTGCTTCAGTGGCAATAGCGTGCCAGACCTCATTCTTTGTTGCAAATTGTTGGCCCTTTGTAAGCTAGTGAGTGGCCCCATACTGGCACCTTTGGCGGTTCCATGTCGGCATCAACATACCAATCTTCATTTGGAATGTGATTGTAGTACGGGATAGGTACACGGTCGCGAGGCACCTCATCACCGTCTGCGTCTGAATCTGGACCAGAATTATCAGCACCTTCAAGAGGATCGAAGCTGTATGCATTGACATCGCCTTCCTCTTCTTCAACCTCAGGGTCACTAACTGGACTTCGATTGACCTCTTATTCCATCTGATGATCATCATGAAAGGCACCTTCACCTTCACCGGCTTCGTAAGGGTAGTTGTGGTAACTAACACCGCTTTGGTAGAACTTGTACTCGGGTTGGTACTGGTAGCCTGCTTATTGGTTCCCATCCGCCCGTTGAGCTTCTTCTTCATATGATGGGAAGGGTTGATGATGACCTCTAGTTCCATCCTGATACTCCTGCCTCCAGCTCAAGTCTTGGTACTCCTGGTGGGCATTATCTTCGTATAATACACTCCCACCGTGGATATCAGATGTTTGGCCATCTCCAGAATGACCTACACTACCTTCAATCGCCTCGGTGTAAACGAACATCTCCGCTTGTTTAATCTTATTGGTGGTCAAAAATTGGATCATGGCATCAACGTCCTCCTGAGTGGTAATGAGGAATTCCTCATTCCACAACGATCTGCCATGTCTGTTTGGATATCGATACACCATACGATCAACTCTTCTAGTGCCATCCATGCAGGTAACCTTAGTGCACATTTGATGGAGATCTTCAAGCATCGGTCTCGTACGGACCTTCATTTTATAAAAATTGCCACCCATGTAACTTACACCCTTTCCGGTCTCTTCCGTGTAACCATTCCACCGCAACCCAAGGGTGAACTTTTGGAATGTCATCTACAATAAAACTGTAATTAAGTTACTAACATAAACATCACAAATGACAATGAAAAGTTATACAAAACAAACTTACGAATTAACGTTAATCACAAAAACTAAATAATTTAAAGGTGCACAAGTGAAATTTGAAGAAGAAGGAGTGAAGATTATGAGTTTTCTGCACCTGCCTTTTATAGGAAAATTTTACACTGGAAACCGCAGGGGGGGAGCGGTTTTAGTCGGGCATGCAGCCCCCACCCCTGCAACCTCCTGCATGCCGACATGTCGGATGTCGAGTGACGAGGCACAAACCGCTGGGGGAGGGGGGAGCAGTTTATGTGTTGACATGGTAAACTGCTTCCCTGTGAAGCGTTTTACCTTGCCGACACATAACCGCTCCCAGAGGGCGCGGTTTGTGCTAGGGCAACCATAAAAACCGCTCCTTCGAAGAGCGTTTTTCCCAAAAAAGACAAACTGCTTGTCTAGTAGGCGGTTCCATTGTAAATTGTTGCCTGGGTGGGCGGTTTCTGTTTTAACCGCCCCTGAGTGGAGCGGTTTTTAATAACAGTGCTAGATTTTGAATTTCTTCGGAATGTGTACTACTTTTGTAATTTTTTTAAAACAGTGGTAATTTTTGATTTTTTTTGTAATTTTTTTAAAACAGTGGTAGTTTTGGATTTTTTCCCTTGTTTCCTGCCTATGCCTAACCTTCATGCCTTTGCCACCTTCCACATGCATTGTTTATTAGTTCACCTAACGAAAGGGTAATTCTTAGGTGTCGCGTTGGCACTTGTTGTGAAGATGATATAGTAACATTATAACAAACCCATGGACTCTAAGCTACGAACTTTTTGTTGTTAAGAATTAAAACGATAATTCGTTCATTTTAAGTATTCGGAATGATGTTATGGACCCAAAGGGTGGATAGACATAAACCAATCCCATGGAGAAACGCTAAAAGCAAGATAAAAACAGAGATGTAGAAATGATTGATTTTTTAACTATGATAATGACAATCTCTAATAAATCCGTTGCTATTATGTTCATCAAACAAATGTGGTATTAGTTAATACTGAAAGAATAAATCGAGGAGATCCAAGAAAAAAGTTCTGAAATTATGCTCTCTGTTTCTCCGACTGCCTGCAACCCGCCGGAGGCCAATATGGCTCTTTCGGGTAGGCCGCCGGACCCTCCTACCTCGGTAGCTTCTCCCTCGTCACCGTCTGCACAAGGCATACCAAGTACGCGGCCGTTGAGCTACAAGTCAGCGCTGGCGGGATCCCAGGTACCATCTCCGGCCAAGGCCCGTCAGTGGACTTTCATCGGTGAGCATGACCTGGAGGCCGGGCTCTATAACGGTGAGCCTGAACTGAAGATCTCGCCCCAGCTCAAAGAGCGACTCTGCATACCATGGAAACGCACTCTGGTCGCTCGTCTTCTGGGGAAGTGTGTTTCCTATCAATACCTGTGTTCGCAGCTCCGCTGGAAATGGAAACCCATTGGAAGCATGGAGATTCTCGACCTGAACAACTCAACATTCCTGGTTAATTTCAGCAATGAAAAAGACTACCTTAATGCCCTCACCGGTGGGCCATGGGTGATCCTGGATCACTATTTGATTGTCCATCAATGGACACACACCTTTCGCACGTCGGATAAACCACATCGATCTGTGGTAGCATGGGTGCAATTACCAGAACTTCCAATTCACTTCTATCACCGGGAAGTCCTCTTCGCATTGGGAAATCTATTGGGAAGAACAGTTAAACTTGATTATCATACGGAACACATGGAGAGAGGCAAATTCGCACGGATCGCCGTTGAACTCGATATGACGAAGCCTCTGAAGACGCGGATCCGTATCGATGGCTTCTGGCAGCAAGTGGTGTATGAGAATCTCCCGGAGATATGCTTTGACTGCGGTCGGATCGGGCACGCGGAGGCCTCCTGCCCCAAGCTGCACAATTCGCCGGCAATTGTTCCACAATTGGGTACGTCCGACCTGTCATGGTTGCCGGAAGATCAACCGACGTAGCCACCGGTGGGATACGGACCTTTGATGCAGGTGGTTCGTAAATCTCGCAATCAAACAAGGAAAGTCCAGGCCAGCCAAGGATCCGCTCAAGGAAATCAAACGAGCAGAAACGGTGATCCGTGGAAAGTGGTTATCAAATCAGGTAAGAATTCCAAGAATGAACAAGTTTCCAACGCCAATGGGAAAGACAGAAAAGGGAAGGAGGAACAAAAATGGGAGCCGAAGAAGGGGAAGGTGGCGTCGCAGTCGGGAAATTCCAGCGGCATTGAGGCCAGCCCAGATATGGTTGCAGGCACAAGCCAAGTGTGGCGTATAGTGGGCCCTAAGCCCACGAAGGCCCCTCCATCATCTAACTCGCAGCCCGAAGGGAGAACAGGAGCTGACCTGGTAATGGTGGGTCAGGCTGAGATCGAGCCCACCCGTATAGACTCGAACCAAAAGCAGAAGCCCTCCTCAGTCAATCCGTTTTCTCCGCTCAGCGATGGCCCATCGTCTCCAACAGAAGTGGCGATCCCCCAAACAAGCAACTCCATTCGAAAACATCACATAGGAAAATCAAGGAGTGTTTGTTCCCCTCCCAAGAAGAAGAAGGACACCAACCTCTGCGTAGCAAAGAAGAGTAATGGATTGCGACCTGGGCCGGGCAACAGTAAGAGAGCACAACATAAAAAGTGTGATCCTAAGCATCGCAAAGCTGTGGAGGAACTCCTTCTCCAGCTCAAATCCTTACCGCCTGTTGGAATTGGAATTGCAAATTTGGGAACCGAGGAGGTTAATGAACCCATGGCGGAAATCGGTGAGGTTCAGACAACGGGAACTGGGGGAGAGCAGGCGCGGAATGCAGCAGCACCGGTGGAAGGTGGAGCTTTGCTGGCGGAGTCGGCGACGTAAGCGGGTTTCCTCCTTTTGAGAGTCAGGGAAGTGTGCTGCCCTTTTATTTCTTTATTTCCTATGTTTAAAATCTTCAGCTGGAATTGCCGGGGGGAAAAACACCCAAAGTTTCTTGCAACTTTCAAAGAGTATATGTTCCCCCACAGACCTAATATCGTCTTTATCGTAGAGCCACGGATCAGTGGCAAGGATGCTGAAGATGTTATTAAGGCTATGGGTTTTGATAAGCATATTGTGGTAGATGCTATTGGTTTTTCCGGTGGTATTTCGGTCCTCTGGATGGATTCTTATTTTACGATCACTGAGCTAGACCGGGACTCACAATTTGTTCATCTTTTGTGCACAGATCAGAATAGCAACGCGGTTCTCTTGACTGCTATTTATGCCAAGCCCAACGACCATGACAGGCTACCCCTGTGGGAGGCTATTCGGCGATTGGAGCAAAACATTGAGAGGCCGTGGCTTTTAGTAGGAGATTTTAATTCTATCACATGCCCTTCAGAGCGCACAGGAGGTGCCGCGTACAATCCGAGGAGAACGGCTAACTTCAATGAATGTATTCGGGATTGTGGCCTACTAGATGTCGGTTTTACAGGACCTAAGTTCACCTGGAGTAACGGAAGGCTTTCACAGCGCATTGACAGAGCTTTATGTAACCAGGAATGGATCAGGAAGTTCCCAGATACCTTATCAACGAATCTGCCCAAGCTTCGCTCGGATCACAGACCAATTCTCATCTGCAGTGATAATGACCATACCCCCCTCGGCAGGTAAGACCTTTTCGATTCTTAGTACCGTGGTTAGCTCATAAGGATTTTCCCTCTGCATTTGAGGCCTCGTGGAACCGAGGAAGGGACTGTTTGTTGTCTTTGCAGGATCTTCAAGCGCATCTAACTCGGTGGAACAAAGAGGTGTTTGGAAATATCTTTCGGAGGAAAGCTAAACTGTCAAAGCAGCTTACTCGACTGGAAATTCAGAACGAGACGGCAGCAATTGAAGCTTCCATAAGAAGAGAAGGGCAGATTCGGGAGGAACTAGAGCAGACATTATGGCAGGAAGAGCTCTTGTGGCATCAGAAAGCGAGGGCCAACCAGATTGTGAACGGGGATAAGGATACTCGGTACTTCCACACAGTTGCTCTCACGAGGCGCCGAAAAAATAGGATAACCAAGTTACAGCAAGAGGATGGGACTTGGGTGGAGGATCCAGAGATGCTAAAAAATATGGCCACGGAATTCTACATTCGGCTCTATTCGGATGATAGCACGGGGCAGCAGGACATCCCAGCACTTTTAATGGTTTAACCAGGGCAATGACATCGCATCTTGCTGCCCACCCGCTCCCCGAGGAGACGTACCAGATAATCAAGGATATGGAAGGGCTGAAGGCTTCGGGCAAGGATGGCTTTCATGCTATCTTCTACCAGAAATGCTGGGACAGGGTGGGTGTTGACTTCCATGACCACATTGTTGACTGTTTCAGGTACCCAGAGCGGATCAGTAGGTGCAACGACACTCTTCTGGTGTTGCTGCCCAAGGTGGACTTCCCAAAGCAAGTAGCTCAATTCCGACCCATTGGCCTCCGCAATGTGAGCTATAAGGCCTTGGCGAAGTGTCTGGCGAATCGGCTCAAAAAATTTATGCCTCGGCTTATCGATCCGAGCCAGTCAAGTTTCGTCCCGAAAAGACACATTACAAATAACATCATCATCCTGCAGGAAGTGGTTCATACTATGTCACTCAGGAAGGGAGCCAAAGGACAAATGATTCTGAAAATTGACCTGGCCAAAGCGTATGACAGGATCAATTGGAAGTTCCTGGAATCTACTCTGCGGGCGGCCGGTCTCCCTGATGATTTCGTCAAACTTGTCATGGCTTGCGTGACGACGGTTCATTTTCAGGTGCTTTGGAATGGCGGCTGCACCGAACCTTTCCAACCTACTAGGGGTCTTCGGCAGGGATGTTCTCTTTCACCTTATCTCTTTACTTTATGCATTGAAAGACTTAACCACTGCATTAAGGACTCTGTAGATAGGAAAGCCTGGAGGCCTATTACTCTGTCTACGGATGGTCCTGCTCTTACTCATATGTTTTTTGCAGACGATTTGGTCCTATTTGCGGAGGCTAATCTGAGACAAGGAGAAGAAGTTCTCACATGTCTCAACCGGTTCTGTGAGGCCTCAGGGGAGCAAGTGAGCAAAGACAAGTCCTGTGTCTTCTTCTCCAAGAACACCAAGGAGAACCTGAAGAGAAGTATAAGTGATATGCTGGGGATCAAGCAGACCAGTAACCTGGGGCGCTACTTGGGGGTTCCTATTATCCATGGCAGAGTCACGAAAGATACCTACAAGTTCATCTTGGAGAAGATCGATAAACGACTTGCAGGATGGAAGGCGAGGAGTCTATCTCTTGCAGGCGGATTTACCTTGGCGACCTCGGTGCTTAACGCCCTTCCGAACTATGCCATGCAAACGGCGGTTCTCCCTATATCTATCTGTGACACCATTGATAGGAAAGTCAGAGCCTTTATTTGGGGAACTGAGGACGGAGTTTCCAAGGCTCATTTGGTCAAATGGGAGACCATTTGTAAACTAAAGGAGCATGCCGGCTTGGGCATGCGGTCTGCTAGAGCTCTCAATCTTTCCTACCTTATGAAGTTGGGGTGGGCCTTCCTGAATAAGTCAGACGAGCTTTGGATCTGCATCCTGCAAGGGAAGTATTTGAAAGTCAGCGAGACAGGGGCTCTTGTGATGAAAAAAAGCAATTTCTCGCGGCTTTGGAAAGGAATTGTTGATACCTGGCCAATTCTCAAGCAGCGGGTTGTGTGGGACATTCGGGAAGGTCATAATGTCCAATTTTGGACAGACCCCTGGCTTACTGAGGGAATGATCTTGAGCGAGCATATCACAGGCAATGGCGAGGGCATCGACTGGCAGGCCACTGTAGCCGAGATGGTCACTGATGAAGGTGAGTGGAAGTGGCAGGAGTTCTCGCCGCACCTGACTCAGAATTTGATTGCTCTGGTTGTAGGTACGGACCCCCCCCCCCCCCCCCATGTCGGGATCAGGTGAAGATATCACTGTTTGGGGGATGGAGCCAGACGGGAAGTTTAAGCTTCGTTCAGCATATTCTGTGGCAGTAGAGTGGCTAAGTGAAGAGGAGCATGAGGCGGTGGAGGCAAATGACCACCAGTATTGGAAGAGACTCTGGAAATGGACGGGCCCGAACAGGATTAAACACTTTATGTGGTTGGTTTTTCATGACAGGTTGATGACGAATGCGCAACGCAAGAAGAGGAAACTGACGACGGATGACACTTGCCCGATTTGCAGAAATGGACCGGAAACCATCGAGCACATATTGCGTCAATGTCCGAGCTCCATACAGGTATGGCACAGTCTGGGTATTCAGGAGACTGCGTTAACTTATGGCTTTGGTTTTGCAGCTTGGATTGACGAACATCTCAAGGGAGATCAGGAAGGGCTTCTGTTTGGTGTGGCAGCTTGATATCTTTGGAAAAGAAGAAACGAGAAGGTCTTCCATGACTTGAATCAAGATTATCATGTCCTGGCGCAACGCATCAGATGCTGGACGTCAACAATCAGGCAAGCTCAGGATAATGACTTGGCCTCTCATAAAGAGGCGTTAAAGAAGGTTGAACAGCGGCTCGCTTGGATTTCGCCACCCCAGATTGGATGTGTGCAACACCGATGGGTCAGTGAAGCAACCAGGTTCGACAGCAACAGGAGGTGGTCTTGTCCGGGACTGGACGGGAAAATGCATGGGAGCCTTTGTGGAAAACCTTGGTGTGTGCACAATTACCCAAGCAGAGATCATGGCTGCCATTAGAGGTCTGCAGATGGCATGGGAAAAAGGATACAGGAAAGTCCTTCAGCGATTGGACTCCACTACTGCCATCAACATCATTACCTCGCAGGATCAGACGGAGCACAGGTACCATAATCTGGTTATACAGTTTCAGGAGCTGATTCAGCGGAACTGGGAAGTTAGAATTTCCCATATATATAGAGAAGGTAACAAAGTGGCTGATTTCCTAGCCAATAAGGGCCACTCCGTTAGTATAGGTTACCATGATTTTGAGAGCACAGACCCAGGTTTGTCCTTCTGGATTTTGTATGATGTTTTGGGAATTTCCCAAACCCGTTTAATTTAAGTTTCAGGCAGGGGCGCCCTTTTAGCGTCCCATCTTCTACCACAAAAAAAAAAATCAAACAAATGTGGTTAGTTTTTTTTTTTGACAAGTACAAATGTGGTTAGTTTGAAAAATCTCACCCAACTAACAATGGAAAAAAGGGGAGAGTAAAAAAATATAACCCCACAATTAAAAAAAATTCAACCAATGTGAACACCAATTAAAAAGTAGAAAAGGAAAATCTATCACAATTCTGCCACGTCATTTCTTCTAGGCATAGTTGTCAAACCGGTAGTATGCCGACCGGTTGAACCAGGTCCAACCGGTGCTGATCATGAAACCGGCTGGAATACCACCGGTATTTTGTTGTGGTCAACACCGGTCAAAACCGGGAATTTCGACGGTTCAACTGGAATGTTAAGTGCCGGTATCTGAATTCTTGAGACATACTCCGTCGTCCTCCGCAAGATCCCCAACTGCCCCGCCTCCTACATCTGGGTTCAAACGACTGTGGTCTGTGGAGGAAGCATATTTTCCCTTCTATGTTTATTTCATCGGAGAGGCAAGGAATAGACAGAGTGCAAATCAATTGAGAGGAGAGAGGAAGGATATTTCCCCTTTTGATTCTATGTTTGGACGGCTGAGGAAAAGGAATGAGAAGGATAGGGGAGAGGAGCGACTAGGGTTGGAGAAAGGTCTATTGGGGGGATTTTGGGAGAAGGGTAGTACCTACACCTACACGAGACATAAATCTCTCCTTTTTTGGCTTTTTCATTTTATAGTTTGTTTATTTATTTTTATATAATCTTATTTTTCCTATCTAATTACTTAAACCGGCATACATACAGGTTGTACCACGATCGAACCATTTCTCTTATAAAACCGGCATAACAGTATAAACCGGTTTGACAATCTTGCTTCCAGGCGTAAACCAACAAAGAGAAGCCCTGAAGTCCACCACCCAACTCGCTCTCCTCCACGCTGGCCCACTCCATCGCCGACGAGTTCGTCCCCACCGACGACGCCAGCGACATCGAAATCGACGACCAGGACGAATTCCTCGCCGCCGTTATCCTCATCTTCAACCCCCTTCTTCACCTTCCTCCACTCGATCCTATTCATCATCCCGAACCCGCCCCACGAGTTACCACCACTCTGCCATGGCACGACGCCGTCACCTCTGCTCTTCTCCGTCGGCGGCTTCGCTAACCCACTTCCCCCTCCTCCGCTGCTGTCGCAATCGTACTCCTCTTCCTCGCCCTCAAACCTGAACATGAACACGGTGTGCTCGCCACCGCTCCCCGCATCCTCGAACATTCAGTTGTAGACATCCCACGAGATCTGGGTCGGAACCCCGTCCACCTCGACCCGCTCGATCCCCCTGAACTTCCACTTCAGCCGCTTAATCTGCAGCACCCTCTTTCCCTCGACGGCGAAGCTCAGCCTGGCGTTGCTCCCACAGTTGCAATCGATTGAAATCTGGCGGTTCCTGCTCTCGAATCTCGCCCTCGTCGTGTAAACCCGGTTCCCAATGACGTGTTCCCTCCTCAGAACCAGCGACTGGCTCGACTATGGTCGCCGCCCCGATTTGGGCTTCCCGCATGCTTCTCTAGTCAAGTCCCCGACGAGTAGGACGATTTCGCGGTTTTGCACGACGTCGATGTAGAATCCAGACTGGGGCTCCGACTCGAATCCGAACTTGGCCCGGGAGAGTTCCTAGAAGATCTGGAACTCGGGGAGTGTCTTGGAGCTGTGCTTCTTCCAGAAGAAGAAGGGCTTGATCTAGAGGTGGAAGGAGACGGCACAGCGGTGGGGGGTGGAGTGGGTGCGGGAGAGTGGTGAGCACACGCCGCCGTCGTGGTGGGGGTGGTCGGTGGGGAGGAGGTAGAGGTGGAGGGAGTGGTAGAGAAAGGTGCGGACCAATTGAGAGAGAAAATGCCGAGGTCGGTGTGGTAGAAGCAGGTGTTGAGGTTGGGGCGGCCGGGGGGGGGGGGGGGGGGGGCGATGGTGGTAGGAGTCGGAGGGGCGGAAGTAGGAAGGGGAGGATTGGGATATTATGGTTGGTTGGGTATGGGAAATGGGATTAGATATTTTTCCCGATAAATTCGGGGGAAGCGGAAATTTATGGATTAATTGGAGAATTTTATTTTTGGTTTCTGGGGGAAGGGGATTAATTAGGAGAGCTTATATATACTGGAGGGAGTGTCCGAATCCGAACTATGGAGAGTGAGTACACTACTGAGTTGTTTGTCTTTCATTAGTGAAGTAGGAAAAGGAAAGAAAGGACGAAGAATGGCCCAAATAGACTGAATCAACATATTAGGGGAAGGGAAAGGATGACTGAGGAAGGATCCTGTGACTAAGTGGGTGCTTAGTCAAGTGACTAAGCTCCTCCTAACCCTTGGATCTGGATATATTAATCTAATGGTTAAAAAGTGAGAATGGATATTGAATTAATGAAAAGGGTAATTATGGTATTATAATATTTCATTACTTTTTTTTATTTCATGGTCACATGCCAGCAACGCATGTCTTTTTTTTAAATAATTCAATTGGTTCTTTCTTTTTATTACATCGGGATGAGGAAGAGAAAGCTTTTTATAACATCCCACTCACATAAGTTTATTTTGTTATTTTTTTATCAGCTTTTTTCTACAAATGTGCAATCCAGTACCAGAAAAATATATAGTAAAAATACACCATGTACAAACATTATAATGAAAATGCAAAAATCAATAATATGTGATTTACAAATCAGAATATAAAAGTGTACAAATCATATCACAAATACGTACAAACTAATATTACCATGTATACAAAATACAACTACTTACAATACAAATCGATGTGAATATCTTTACAAATCAATAATACAAAGTATACATACTCAATCATAAAATTATGCAAAGCAATATTAAAAAGTATTAGAATCACAAGATATAAGTATATAAATCAAGTTAACAATATATACAAAGATTACTAAAAACAGAAAATATCAAAACTGGGTATTACAAAGTATAAAGACCACATCGTAAAAGTATACAAAGCATACATATCAGAAGTATACAAACATTACAAACATGGTTGACAAAAATAACAAACATGGTGGACAAAAATAACAAAGCTTACAAACTAAAAAAAATGACAAACGGTACAAACCATACTAACTGCATAAAATACCACTACCTATAATACAAATCGATAAACTGGTATTACAAACTAATAAATACAAAGTATACAAAATAGACAAACAAACATTTCAAATTATAATTTATACAAATTTGTCATATACTATTACAACATAATAGATAAAAATGACAAACTAGAATAAGAAACGATACAAACATAATTAATGCAAAATTACAAACCAGACTTGCAAACATTACAGATTAGTTTGACAAACATAACAAACTGTTACGCCGGAAAATTCACGGCGGTAAATCTCTCTCTCTCTTAACTGATGGGGAATTGCAATTGTTCACAGAAAAAAAGGACTCTCTCGTAACTGGAGTGGGAAATTGCAATTGTTCCCAGACAAAGGAAATAGTGTTTGCCAGGATGGAAACGCGCCGGGAATTTCCATGGCCGGCGGGAGGGAGCCGGAAATTTCCTTGGCCGGCGGAAGGGACGTGGACAGGACGCCAGATATATTTTTATTCAGTTTATAATTAAAAATTAATCATGCAATTACTATATTGTCCTTCATTAAACTGAATTAATTGAAATCATTAGATTTTAGTGAGATTGTAGGGTTGAGATTGACTTAGTCATATGACAAAGGGACTCCCCCTTAGTCACCTGATCTTATACCAGGATGACCGGATTACAAGGCATGAGTAATAAACTTGCATTTCCCATTTTATGTAAGCTTTTTAATTCGATTTTGTAAGTATGATTTACACTTCGTGCTTGAAGGATCATATCATGGTACAACATTCGACATATGCCTCTCCTTCGCGAGTTTCAGCCAAAAAATCATTACGGTTGCATCTCCTATCTCCGCCGGCCATTTCATCTGTTCTCGCCTTATTGTAGCCATTACACAATCACCATTTCTGTCTCGGATGATCACGCCGAGCCTCGTCACTCGAACTGCAAAGATTTGCCTCATCGAAGTTCAATTTATAATAGTCCATGTATGTGGTTGTCCACGGTGTCACTTTGCAGATGAAGTTGGGTCCCCGTTTCTTCAATTTTTGCAGCGAGCCCCTTAAGCTTTATAATGATTATCCTAAACCCGATTTGGGCAAAGCTATATATTAGTGGCGGACCCAGAAATGTAATCAAGGGTATTCAAGAATAGACCAAAGTTGTTAAGGGTTGTCAAATAGTCTTGCGTTTAAATATTATCTTCACTAAAATAAAATTTTACAAAGGTTTTTTTTTTTGTCCAAATAAGAATCCAAGGCTTGTCAATTGACAACCCTTTTCCCAACTTGGATCCGCACCTGAAAGCTATCACCTCCATTCCTCCCGTTTGGCGCTATTGAAAAGTTGATTGTTCCTCTCTCATCGAATCAAACAAACACCGCGAAATCCGACATACGAGCATATGTCACCCAGTGGCGGATACATGGCACTTTGAGGGTGTCTCGGGACACCCCTAAAATTTGGGAACACGATTGTTTAACCCTCGATAGTAGTTTGCATATGGATGAAAAATATTCAAGTGATAGCGAGACACTCTTAAAATTTGGAAAAATGATTATCCAACCCCGAGTAGTAGTTTGTGTACATGTAAATAAAAACGTTTAAGTGGTAGCTTATGTGATTTGAACTTGGGTCATTTCTATTATGAGAAACATATTTTTCATTAGACCATAACTTATTTGTTCTTGTATTTTAAATCCAAATATACTAGTAAAAAGCTATTTCTTATCGCCATTTATTTTCAAAAGTTAACGATTAACCCAATTACGGACTCCCCTTGTCTAGTTGGATATATCGATATAGATTTGTAGAGCATTGTTAGACATCGATTATATTTTATAATTTTTCCTGAATACGAAACACGCCATGTGCTTTGTTCTATTTTGTACAAATCACATATTTCTTATTTAATAATTATTGAATTATTAATTTAATTAAATTTTTAAAAGAGAACACCCCTATATAAAATTTATGGATCCGCCACTGACGTCACCCATTCCGCAACCTTGCACCACCAAACTCCACAAGCTTTTACGAGCATCGAATTGTACGATATAGAGAGTTAAGAGAAGATAACATACAAAAAACAGTTGTGCTCAAAGTGTGGATGACGAAAATTTGGCACGCTGGCACAGGCATGGGCGCACATGGTTTTATTATTGAGCATCATACACACGGGTAGAAGAAGATACACAGCCGCAGAAATGAGTAGAAGCAGCATGCCCACAGAAAAGACCAGGCACGCAAAAACGAACACATGCAGCACATCAATTGTCATTTCCTATAAATGAACCCAAATAACTGTTGTGGCATTTAATTCCAACTAATACTGCAAGTTGTCTAATATATTAATTACAATATCTGCGTGATCGAAATTTCACATCTTCCTACGTACATAGCCTGCCTTTCCCTTTTGTTCTTATCTAGTCTTATTCTGGTCTAGATGCATGCATTTTTCGTCTTCTTTTAACGTGTAAGACTGGAACAAAGCTGCAGCACCGCATGTATCATCTCTGATGGAAGCTTTTTCTTTATACAATTGCAAGCAATTTGAATCAACATCTTCTGTTCATCTGTGCTAATGCGCTTCAAGGGAGATCCCAGAGCATTCTAATTGGGTGGCTTCATCGTGGAAGGCGTAGGTGACGGTGGATGTTGTTGAGGAGGAGAAGTGGTAGAATTCTGGGAATCCTCTCATGGCGAGAGAGGAAAGATTGAGGATAGGGACAGAGGAAGGGAAATGGACAGTTGTGATGGAAAATTGAGGGAATGGTCACTATTGATTTCTGGGAGGAGCGAGTGTGTAAGGAGGTAAGTTTTATTTTTATTTTTAATAGTTGTAAAATGAGGTGGAAATTGTAAATATTTAAATTTTATTATTTTATTATTTTTTTAATGGCCACGTCACTCATTTAACGGTCAACTATAATAGTTGACTGCCACATCAGCAAAAACTAACGGAGGCTAACAGAGAGTGACCAAACTTGAACTATTGAACTAATCTTAGTGACCATGAATGGAATTAAATATTTGCAGTGACCAAACATGGACGGTTTTAGTAAACCCAGTGACCATCCTTGCAATTAACCCAACTTGTTATTATAAGTTTGTCTGATCCGGATTTAGAAGTTCATCATGAGACAATAGTTTTCCAACAAATTAAATTATTGAAATCAACTTATTTCATAAGGGGTGAATTACTTCGAGAGAGAAAGAAAACAAGTATATTCAAATAAAGACGGTTAGATAATTAGAACTAATGATATCTAAATAATTCATTCGTATATAAGGAAATAACCCACTTACACAATCATTATTTTCATATCGTCAGGTCGGAGAGGTCTTCAAAGGAGAAGTTAATATAGTTATTGAACTGCTTCTTCAGGTTGTTGGAACAAAAATCGAATAGACCTTAAGAAGAAGAAAAAAATGAATTATTTTTTTGGGTTGCTTCTCTCTTCTTTCTCTCTCTTTTTTCGTTCTCTGTGTGCATCGCTTGCTTCCCTTCGTTGCCGATGGCGATCGTCACCGGCAGAGCCTCCTCAGGTGTCGTCGGTGACGGGCGTACCTGGGCTCCACTCTTTACCATCAGTCCTGACTTCAAATTGACTACTATGAGCCGGAGTTTGTCAATGGGTCGCTCCGAAACCCTAAGTCGGTGATTGATGACGGCGAGAAGCGATTGGTAAATTGTTTAGTTGGTCATTTTATGGATAGTCCGGGCTCCCTCTCTTCAATACACTTCTGGGCGAATTGGATCTGGGGGGAGAGATGGAATGGTGAGGGTGTCCTGGTTGGGGGATCGTCTGGTGCTCTTCCAATTTTCCAATGCGGAGGTCTGTTGCTAAGTTTTTGAAGGAGGTCCACGGCACCATCGGGAGAACGTGGCATTACTCCGTAAATGGGAGCCAGCTATTCAACCATTAACCATTGATAACTCTGTTGTCCCAGTCTGGGTTCGATTATCAAACCTACCATTTGAGATAACTTCTAATGAAGGGTTAGGGCGTCTAGC